TACAATATGTATTTCTGCTTATTTATACGTGTGCGTGCCAACCTGAACTCTGAAACTGACGACCTGCGACTCACAGGTCAGGCCCTGAACCACGGAGCTACAATTAATTACAAACCACAACACCATTCCACAATCCGAAAATTAGGTATCATTATGTACAAAAAAAATATTTCTAAGTTTGTCAGTAATGCTGCTATTAGAAAATGAATGCTAGTTTGAATAATAAAACTTTTTGTATGTTTTAAAATTGAAACGACTAGGCAAGAGATTTCTTTGATGGTGTCTAATAATGTTTTAACCAATTTATGACAAAATATTTTGCATTATAACTAACAAATAAATTAAAAACAAGTACTTATAATGTATTGCCTGCATGCGACCCCTGGTTCTTTTATTTTTTTATGGCATAAGCCGGTAAACAACCAGACAGATAACCTGATGGTAAGCAATCGACGTCGCCATAGACATCTGAAACACGGAGGCGCCACAAGTGCGTTACCGACCTTTTGAGTATTAGGACTTCGAGGATTATAGAGGATTCGAAGATTGGGGGCATTGGGAAGACAGGTAATTCGATCTCCGGTAACCTCACTCATATGACGAAACACATCGTATTGTTTCACGTCGGTTTTCTATGTGGTCGTTATATCACTTCGGTCGAGTCGGCCAATTCACCGAAGCATGGCCCAAAACTTAAAAATTATTAGAGTTATTATTATTTAAGACACAAAAACTACATATATACTTTTATTTCTTATTCAAATCTAATATAATCTCTCCATTCCATACCTTTGTATTACTTTTCCAAACAGGGAAGTCGGTGCCAATTCATAAATTCTGCATTACTTATGTATTTTCATTGTAATTTCAAATCAATAATCCGACAATAGACAACATATCGATTTATGGTGCAATAAATGACGTTATTTTATATATTATAATATTTATAATCCTATACACTATGTGACCTACAAATTATTTTAATTATTCATCAAATCAAAATGTCACGCGATTTTGGCGTAAATGCAACTTTTTTTCATATTTTTAAGGAAACTTGTTTGTACCTGTTCTTTAAAGTTGTATTTAATACACAGTTATAAATATACTAGTTTTTTCATATAGGAAATGAAACATATTCTACTAGCTTCTGCCCGCGACTTCGTACGCGCAATCCCGTTTTATCCTATTCTCATAAGATTTTCAGTCATTATTTCTATCATAAAAACCTTCTCCTGACGATAACAAATGCAATAAAAAATAATCAGCCAAATCGGTCCAGCCATTCTCAAGTTATGGCGTGGCAACATTTTTATATATAACTAGCGACCCGTCCGGCTTCGCACGGGTGTAATAGGTATGTATGTATTATACGTATAAACCTTCCTTAAGAATCACTCTATCTATTAAAAAAACCGCATCAAAATCTGTTGCGTAGTTTTAAAGATCTAAGCATACATAGGGACAGACAGACGGCGGATAGCGACTTTGTTTTATACTATGTATAGATTACCTATCTAAAATTATTAATTTATGAATATGATCGTAATTTTGTGCATTTTGGTGAGCGTTCTAGCTAAGACATTAATATATCATGTTTTGCAACTATAGAATAATTATTAAGTAAATGGAGTTGGAAATTGAGTTGGAACTTCGACTGCCTCGTTGGCCGAGTGGTCGCAAGTGCGACTGCCGGTCGCGGAGAACCTAACGGGTAACCGGGGCTCCGGCTCGACGTGCAGGAGAAGGAACGGGGTGGTTTTTAGTCAGTAAGAGTCTGACACTCCCTTCCGCCTCACCCAGGCGGGAGCAGTCACTCGATGATTTTCCCCCCTTAAAAAAAAAAAAAGTGCGACTGCCGGGCAAGAGGTCTTCACCCACTTTTCACTATTTATGAGTCCCATGTAATAGAGGGTGAACCTATTGCCATATACCGGTCACAATTACAGACTCCGTGCTACTATTGAGATTTTTAAAAACCCAGTAATACTTTGCCCGATCCGGGTATCGAACCCGAGACCCCTTGCCTGACCCGAGTCGCACTTGCGACCACTTGGTTAACGAGGCAGTCATAGTCTTATATACAGATATTTAAAGTAATATATTAATTACAAAAATGTCATATAACTATGAAGTCATTTGTGAATAGAGCGAAGTGGCGACCAAAATTTTTTTTTACTTACAACTAACATAACATAATATAACATCGCTCTTTTTATCCCCGAAGGGGTAGGCAGAGGTGTATATTATGCCACTGTACAATGCAACACCCACTTTTCACTATTTATGTAATGAGTCCCATGTAATAGGACTTACAACTAAATACACATATTTATAAGATTATTAATCAAAGGTAATCAGCATTAGTAATGATCATGCTGGCCAGGTGTAATCGATATTAACAGCGGATGTAACAAGATTCCGTCAACGATAAGTTATGCAGTCGGCTCTTTGACTATATGATTATCGAGATCATGTACGCACAATGTGCTTAGTCCAAGGTGTGACATATATATGTGTAATTCTATGTATTTATTCTACTAAAGGTAAGGAATACATAATAATATGTATGATGCGTTACGTTAGTAGTTTTTATCCTATCCTATTTTTCTTTATTTCTTATGATAATTACAGTAGTATATACTTTAGTTTTAATTTAATTTTAGCCCTACTCATTTATTATTTAGTTTATATGTATATTCTATATAGTATATATAAACTGCCTCGTTGGCCGAGTGGGCGCAAGTGCGACTGCTGGGCAAGAGGGTTCGATTCCCGGGTCGGGCAAAGTATTAATGGGTTTTTAAAAATCTCAGTAGTAGCACGGAGTCTGGAAATGTGCCCGGTATATGGATTGCCATATACCGGGCACATTTCCAGACTCCAGGCTCACCCCCTATTACATGCGACTCATAACAACATAAATAGTGAAAAGTGGGTGTTACATTGTACAGTGGCATTAAATGCCGTAATGTGCACCTCTGCCTAACCCTTCGGGGATAAAAGGCGTGATGTTATGTATGTTATATATAAAACTAAACTATATATATTTTAATAGTATTATTATATTCTTAATGTATATCCCACCACTATTTACCAATTTTATATCACTATACTTAAAAAAAACAAAAAAAATGTAGATGTATGCAAGTCGTTTCTAAAAGTACCTTTTTTTTTTTTTTTTTTAAGGGGGGAAAATCATCGAATGACTGCTCCCGCCTGGGCTAAAAGTACCTACTTGCTCTCGAAAGTGTAAAGCGCATGTTTGATAATGAACGCCTTGAGACTAACATGAATGTGACTAAAATGAATTGAGTATTTTTGGGATACATTTCAGTAGTATTTTAAATTATTTATTCTATAAACTACGTATAAAAACACCGATTTAAGCCCATTTCTTTTTTGAAGTCGTTTTTTTTTTTAAAAAACGTTTCCCCACACTAGGATTTTCTCCTGTGTCGTGGGTGCGTTTACAAACATACAAGTTCACATACACATGACACCCAGACCCGGAACAACAATTTGTGGATCACACAAAGTGTTGTTCTGTGCGGGAATCGAACCCGCGACACGTTGCACGGCAGACGATTGCCCAGCCACCGCACCAACCGTGCAGTCAAATGATTAGTATATATATTAAAAAATTCCTCTAAGTGTAAAAACTTTTCTGAAAACCGTATCAAAAGTTAACTTATTTTAAAATCGGTTAATGATACTAAAAGTAATTGTTAAGAAGGGATTGTTACATTTGAATTGTACACTGTTACGTAATTTAGGAAATTATCCCGAAGTTTGATACTAACCCACTTACATTATAATAAATGGTCTATAAGTTATATACAACCTTGCAATTGATACTCGTAGAATATTAGGAGTATCAATAGCAAGGTTATATATAACTTTATACATAAACTATACTTGTATCAATGTGCCATTAACCTAAATACTCGAACACTTAGTCCAATAGACATCTTCGGCGTAATGACTACATCATTCATTACATTTATTTGAATAAACTTTATTTACTTTTAAACGCCACATACTGGTCTCATAAGGTAATTACTAAACCTTAATTTCTTCACCAAGGCAGTAAAATATTTCTAGCTTTTAACTCATGACTTTGTCTGTGTATGAAAATCCTATGTCTTTTCACATGGCTGTTAGACTTGTGGAAATTTCGTATGGAAGATTCAGTATTCATAAAAATAGATATTTCATAAGTCATAAGGAATCAGTGAAAACGACATTTGTATCTATTGTTATTAGTCCCTTAGAAAAAAGTATTTAAATACTAGTTGTTACAAAAAACGTTAAAGAATTTACTTTAAAGGTATAGTGAGGACAACAGAAAAAAAAGCATTTTAATACTATGAACGTATTATAAAAATCCAACTCAAAACACGTACCTAATGCGTTACGAACAAACTGAACAGTAGATGGGATTCACATCTTCACATAATGTGTACAATAATCCCTTAAAAAAATTAAATTGAATTTAAAAAAACAACTGAATAGTAAATTTTCGTTTAATAAAAGAAATTGGCACGTTTTGCCAAATGAAATCTAACAAAAAAATAAATAAATCACAAATAAACACAATATTCAAAACAACTTAAAACATAAAAGAAGCTTGCACTAAAACAAAAATTTTTAAGTTAAAACAATTACAAACTTCTAATATTTTCTTCTAACACCCATATGACTTTTTAACTTCATATCTTACTTTACTAAACTTAACCCAGATACAAAACACTAGAGACCAACGACCAACCCAACCACAGCCTAATAAAGATTGAAAATAAATCTAAAACACGGATGTGGTCAATCCCAGAAAAAATCATCGAATCGCGTTCACCTTGCAGACGAGCAAATCATATTAAAGACTAAAGCTTCTTTGTTGCAAAATAATGCAAATGCCGCTGCTTAGAACCATAATCGAAGGAAGAGGATGAGGTATAAAACCGCCGCTCGTTTATTCTATAATCACAGTTATACATCGTCTGTTAACTTTGACACACAAGATGGTGAGTGAAGAGTTGCATCACCGGCTGGTATTTGAGAGCGGCACCCATGTGACCGACTCACGTGCTCAGCTCAGCCAGCCTACAACATTACTCTAATCAATTCTAGTGCTTGTGAAATAAAAGTGACAAAAAAGGGAAATCAAAGTGACTAAAGGACTATTGTTTTCCAGAAATCCTTCGTAGCTCTCCTCGCCGTCGTGGCCGTAGTTGCCGCTGATGTCTCCCACGTAGTTCGCAACCCTGAGGCTGACGCCCAGATCGTGCAGCAGGTCGCTGATGTCCTCCCTGACCAGTACAAATACGCCTTCGAAACCAGCAACGGTATCGCTGCCCAGGAAGTCGGACTCCTCAAGAACGTCGGCTCTGTAAGTAGCATATACGACGAAAATTAGCTCACAGTATCCGACTCATCCTCTGTTATTGCACCATCGATTCATAATGTAATTATAAAAATAAAAACACAGGCTTTAATAATAAAGAGATAATGTATGATACCATGTAAAATGCACATTTTAAGAATTATCCGATTTGGCAAAACTAATAAAAACCATTTTTACTAATTAAATAATAAATGATGTGTATAAATCCAGTTGGTGGAGCAATGAAAGAAAAATATTTTAAAACTGTACTGGTCTACGCAAATAAAGGCCACCCGTAGATGACATTTAAGTCAGCAGATGATGTTGCGTACAAATTATGTTAATATATTTATTTTATTGAACCTTGGTATTTCGTTTAAGGTCAACAATGTACGCAATAGTAGTATTTAACTTTTTATCATAAATCATTAGTATTTGACTTGATTTAGATTTGAATGTGACATCTGCACCATATGTAGTAGCAAAAGAAACACCATAAATACAAAATATTAGTTTTAGACCTTCGGTACTTGTTCTAAAGTCTACTATAAATAATTCAATGGTTGTTTACTAATAGAGTGTCCTCTGGTTTATTTAGGAATCCGAAGCCATCTCTGTCCAAGGTAGTAACTCCTACACCGCTCCCAACGGTGAGCGCTTCAGTCTGACCTACACCGCTGACGAGAACGGATACCAACCCCAGGTAAATATCCAAGCACAATCGTAATGAAAGATAAAATGTCCTAAGGTCCCAAAAGTCTAATTTACTTAATTAAAAAAATAGAAAATCACCTACTTTATCTATTCATTCTAGTTCTCATAAAGGTTATTCTTAAAATTACTTATATTTTATTTAGTTGTGAAAACAACTAAATATGTCGATTGATTCACTTCATTAATATCTGAGTGATTGTTAAAACCAACTGTTCGGGTTCCATTATAGTTTGGACAATTGGTTATTAAGGAAGACTTACTATACCTACTAGTTTACTATTATTTTTTTATCCTGTGTTAATATTGTATGGTGTTGTTACAGGGTGCCCATCTCCCCGTTCCCCCCGCACCTCAGGAAATCCCCGAGTACATCGTCAGGTCTCTTGAGTACATCAGGACCCACCCCCCCAAGGAAGAGCCCATCAGAAGGGTTTAAGTTTACCTTTAGAAAATAATAAGTAAAACAATACATTTATAACACTGCCAATTTTTCCACCTCTAGTCGCAATATGTATGTAAATTTCAAAAAATAAAAGGATTTCTTGTTGTACAGTCAACTAGTCTGTTTTTCTTTTCCTATTTTATTTATCTAAAGTTACATTTATAAGTCCTTATACTACTAAAGGAGTCGCGGAGAACCTAACGGGTTGCAGAGGCTCCGGCTCGACGTGCAGGAGCAGGAACGGGGTGGACTTTAGTCAGTAAGAGTCTGACACTCCCTCCCGCCTCACCCGGGCGGGAGCAGTCATACGATGATTTTCCCCCTTAAAAAATACTACTAAAGGAACTGTGCGGTTAATAATAATCTTTATTCAAATACGAGTACCACTATCAACACATTAAGAATAACAATCCACTTATAACACGTGTCCATAAATCTAGATTGAACTTTGACGTCACACAAAAAACTTCCTGCTACACCACAATATCATTTTTCTATACAAAAATAAGTTTACCTATATTAAAGTTAATGGCGCTTTTAGACACCATCAAAATCAATTTGACCTCGACCCTAAAATGGCGTCACACGTATGAGTCCAGTTTATTTTACTAGTCTACTCAAATGTTATGCATGTTACATGTATGGTGATAACTGTCGCAAGTCACGCCATACGACCATCAACTTAAAGCGAATTGTATAAAATGTCGTTATTGTTTTATTATTTTTAATCGTCTAGGCTAGGACAAAGTTTTCATGAAAAATACCTAAATTATTTTTATTGCTCACCTACGAATTTATTGTTTTGTGTTTTTCTCTTGCTCAAGAATAATAATGGTAGGATAAAAATCGATAGTCGTCACTTTTAGATTATGTCGTCACTTTTAGATTATGTTGTCACTTTCCATACTGATATTTTTGAGGTAGGTGAACTTACTATTAACATTAACGCGTGATATGTCAGAACGTAAATCTACGCGAGACACAATATGTTTTCTTATATATTATACCAGTTAATGATAATAATATGTACTCTACCTCTTGTCTTTCCTCAATGAAACTACATTTAATTATTATTATTTCTTGAACCGTTTATAATTCTCCCAGCTTAGTGGGTTCATAAAAAGCACGGGCCAAAGCCAAGTGCGGTTAATTAAATTTAATGTCATTCTATGTGTTTAAAAATTTTCGGGTTAGGCGTCAAGTTATTATTATAATGATAATTATTATAATGATAACAATCATTATTATTATTAATTACTACTTTAAAACTTCTAGAAACGTTCTAGAACCTACAAAAATCGAATATCATGCTCAGTTGGCTAAAATGCCAACTGAAGCCTTTGTCTTCTTATATCAATTTGCACAGTATTTTATATGACAACTGATATTTAGATACCGTAGTATTAAGGAGTGTTACTGTTGAGGCTTCAAGAATATTCCCTTAATCACAAATTGATTTTGGTAAACAAAGCTTGTACCTGTTGGTCAGTACGGACATTATTAGTGTCTCATGATACACATAATATGTTGTTAGTCAAAGATTTTTATTTTTATTTTATTTTATTTTATTTATTATAAAATTCTTCCTACACTCTCATTACAGGATTTTCCCAATTCGACAGTGAGGCTTAATCTAGTTAAGAAAAAAAAAACATATTTATACCTATTACTAACAAGAAGTAATACAACGAAACCAAAAAAAATAATAATAACATTAAACACAAAAATAATAATATATACACATTACATCCTAACCTATTAAATTACCTACTACTAGAATTATCACTAGATTAGAATTATTACTAGATCATTATCAGGTATAAATATGATTTTGATATTTCAACTTCTATATTTTTCTGGACTTTTTAGAGTTTACGTCATACTTCGGCCAGTTATTTCAAGCGATATAATGGGAATTACAACAATTTGCTTGATCCTTTTGGAATACAAATAGGTTTATGTATGTAAATAGAATGTACCTAATTGAATTCTAATATAAATTCATGCTTCTCATGATCGCTATGTCACCGTATACGCAATTTAATTCAGACATTATTGGAATGACCGTAAGGGCTCTTTTTGCATGAATTGTAATACTTATATTTTTTAAACAAGTGACACGAGATGAATTAGAATTTAAATGATTCTTATAACCGATTCTTTTCCAATTTTAACAATGACGGTCAAGTATAGTTTGGTTTGAAGACCTTGACATTTAGTTTTGAATGTTTCCTCCCAAAATGTGGTAAAGAAATACTGATCTCATCTAGTTTTGGACTGATGCAATTATACCGATACAACTTTAATTCAAGTCTTATTCTTAAGACAATAAAAATCTAATTTACCTGTACATTACTTTTATTTAAGTTGATTGTTGGATTCAAAAGTTGATAGGGCTGATCGTTTTGAAGAAATTTAAAAAACCTGCCGTAAATGCGACTACTGGACAAGGGCTCTCGGGTTCGATTCCCAGGTCGGGCAAAGTTTGACTGGGTTTAAAAAAAATCTAAGTAGTAGCACAGAGTCTGGAATTATGCCCGGTATATGACAATAGGCTCACCCCCTATTACATGGGACTCATAACATAAATAGTGAAAAGTGGGTGTTACATTGTACAGTGGTATTAAGCGGCTTAACGTGCATCTCTGCCTATCCCTTCGGAGATAAAAGGCGGGGTGTTATGTTATGTTGTTAAATTTTTTTTTTCATCCTAGTTTGGTTTTTGATGTACAAATATCAATCAAAATATACCGTATTTGTTTATAGCATAAGCCGGTAATCGAGCAGACGGATCACCTGATGGTAAGCAATCAGCGCCGCCCATGGACACCTGGAACACCAAGGCGTTACAAGTGCGTTGCCGGCCTTTTGGGAATTGGGAATTTGAGGATTGTTGAGGATTCAGGGATTGGGGAAGAGGGTGAGGGGTAATTCGGCCTCCAGTAACCTCACACGACGAAACACAACGCAAGCGTATGGGGATGATGACAGGGTATGAAAATTAAAAATATAATTAGTCCGTAAGTTAGGTAATGAAAAAATATTAGACACGTACTTTTTTATTTTGTCGTATAATAAAACAATACTTAGATAAAACGAATCAAAGTTTAGGAGTGGGGGCTAAAACGTCATTTCTTAGTATAAAATGTACTGAGAAGTGACGTCACGCGACATTTCAAATCAATATATCTTCGAAACTATTCGTTTCTGTGAGAAAATAAAAAATACGTGTCTAATGTTTTTAAATAATCTATCAGACGAACATTAAAATAAAAATTAGTCGTCTACCCTACTTTCATTGGACTTGCTATGACCTTCAGTACGCATTTTTTTACCCAATCACAGCTCCAAAAGACAAAGTAATTTTTTTAAGCATATTTGCTAGCAATCTTTATTTTGTAAGTACACTTATTAAATCGTCTAGTTTACTTGTGGTTAATATATGCGTATAATAAGTATTTGTGGTTTTATAAAAGGTTGGGGATTTACTTAGTCGAGTTATGTCCAAGGTCATTTACTTGGACTGTCATAGTGACAGTCCAAGTAAACGTTTTGTTTTCCGCAACTTTTTGTTGAATTTTGTATTTCTGAGATATACCACAGGCCATCTTGGCTATTATTTAATTTGCGTGGTATAAATAGGTATTGGTGGTTTAAAATAATAATGGAAATTGCTTTAGTCTATCAGAGTATGTCGTTTTTTTTGTTTTTTAACGAGCAGACGGATCACCTGATGGTAAGCAATCGGCGTCGCCCATGGACACCTGAAACACCAGAGGCGTTACGAGTGTGTTACCGGCCTTTTGGGGATTATCGTTGATTAGCGTCGGCAAATTACGACTGTCATTTTTTGTGTTGCAAATATCTACAAGAGCATCTCTTTTCTAATAGACGGGCTCTAAGATAGACAAACTTGTTATTCCAGTTGAATTAGAAAAAAAACAAACACTTTTGTTTCTATAAGGAACATACAGATATACAGATAGACATACAGCAAAAAATTTTACTGATTGCATTTTTGGCATTAGTATCGATCACTAATCACTCCCTGATAGTTATTTTGGAAATATATTTTACTAGCTTTTACCCGCGGTTTCGTTCGCGTCACAAAAGGATAAAATGTAGCCTATGTGACATATACCAATACACACAGCGCCATCTACACCAACACTTTTGTTTTCAATCGGGAATATCAAAATTTTCCGGGATAAAAAGTACCCTATTATTTAATCCAAACTTCTAACTTTACGTCTGCAAAAAATCAAAGCAATCGGTTTAGTAGTTACGGCGTGAAAGCGGAACAAACAAACAAACAAACAAACTCACTTTCCGATTTATAATATTATTATATTATATTATATATATTATATATTATATATTATATATTATATATTATATAATTATATATTATATATTATATATTATATATAGTAAGGACAAGGATGTACAGAGTTGACCTCTCTACAGATTTGTAATGAGTATAGATTTAGCTGTTGCACCCATGTTTACAATGGAACAAATCTAAAAATATGGGTGGGTGCAACCACCAATGGGGTAGACGACTAATTTTTATTTTAATGTCCGTCTGATAGATTATTTAAAAACATTAGACACGTATTTTTTATTTTCTCACAGAAACGAATAGTTTCGAAGATATATTGATTTGAAATGTCGCGTGACGTCACTTCTCAGTACATTTTATACTAAGGAATGACGTTTTAGCCCCCACTCCTAAACTTTGATTCGTTTTATCTAAGTATTGTTTTATTATACGACAAAATAAAAAAATACGTGTCTAATATTTTTTCATTACCTACCTTACGGACTAATTATATTTTTAATTTTCATACCCTGTCATCATCCCCATTCTGCGAAAATGTGGCATAATAATTATGATCTGAATAATGTATTGGTATATAATTAACACTTAGGACTTAATAATAAATATACACTACAATCACGTAAGCAGGATTGCAATACTGATTATCATAGTCGATTTCATATTTAGCATCTAACTATGAGTATAGGAC